CCCCAAAACCCCAAAACCCCAAAACCCCAAAACCCCATAAAAGAAAATTCGTTTTGAAAGTTTAGAATAATTTAAAGATGAAAGTACTGATTCTTTTCCTCGTCTTTGCTGTGTGGACTACCTCTGCTCAGGTTATCCAAGCCAAGGATGAAGCTGATATGTATAGGATAAATGATGAGTATCCAGCCAGATACTCAGTTGTCATCTATAAAGGTGAAGGTGAAACCTGGCTAAGTTGGTTTGAAAGCTATCTATTCGAAACCAAGCATCAACAAGAGATGAGAGAACTTGATCAAATCATAGATTTCTTTGAGAAAAATCCATACTATGAGATCCCTGTGATCGAAGTTGATGTTGATAAAGCTGATTTTACCGAATCTATTATGAATTTTGGAGTAGAGTCTGTACCTTGGATTATTATTTTGGATGAAAATAACGATGAAGTTTACTCAAGTGCCCCAGTTCCTGAGGCTGATGAAGAAATTTTGGTAGCGATGAATATTTTTACTTCTACAATCACACCTCCTCCTTCTGATGACGACGATATTGATTTTGGAATTGATTTTGAAGAGATTTTTAGAGATGAGCCTGATGATGTAATGCCAGCAATGATTGCTCCTGCAGACTCAAATGATAAAGTAGGAGAGGGTTTTTTCCAACCTGAAGAAGCTAATGAAGGTTCGATTGGTGGCACTTCTTCAGAAGCTGAAAATATAGAAGAGGCACCTGTTTTTGAAGAAGCTCCAATACTTGCAACTTCTACATCTTCCTCTACTGTTCAAAGTGAGAAGCCTGCTTCATCTAAACCATCTACAACTTCTGAAATAGTAATTCCTACAACTGCAGTTTCAGCTTCCTCAACTCCATTTTCTCAGCTATCAAATACTGCCCAAGAAAATGCTTCAGGTATTGCTCAACAAGTAAAACAGCAAGCTCAGCAAAAAGCTCAAGCAGCCCAACAAAAAGTCCAAGATATCCAACAGAAACTTCAGGACACTCAAGAGCAAAATTCCCAAACCATCCAGCAAACTGCTCAAGAAAGCCTTCAAGCTTCTAAACAATTTGCTGAACAACAAGCCCAAGCAATCCAAGACCAAGCTAAAGCGGCTAAACAAGCAGCTCAACAGAAAGCCCAGGCTGCTCTCCAGCAACAAGTCCAATCTGCTAAGCAGAAAGCTCAGGATGCTCAATCTTCTCTTCAACAGCAAGCACAGGACTTCCAGCAAATGATCCAACAACAAGGTGGACAACAGCTAGGAGGAAAGGTTCAGCAAGCACAGCAACAAATCCAACAGCAGTTGCAACAGAAGTTCCAAAATAGTCCTAGAAGGAGATAAGGGAATAATAAGTCAAGTTTTAGCAATAATTTCATCAAATTCTACCTCTGGGGGTTTCAATATTCTTTAGAACTTGATCTATGCTAGAAGTGACATCTGTGTAGCTCTAATTCTTCATGTATGGCTATATGTTCTTCCAGTCTAGAATGCAGATAAATTTCAATCTGATCATGCTAAAAAGGGGTTTTGGGGTTTTGGGGTTTTGGGGTTTTGGGG